ATGCGTCCAGATCCGGATCTGGATATCCGGACCTTAAAATTTTGGTATCCGGATCCGGATCCTCTTTTCACGGATCCTAGATTTTACTATCTTTATCCCGATCCGGACTCTCCGGATATCCTAATTTTTGGAACGGATCCGAACGAATAACGGATCGGATCTCGGATCCCGGATAATAATTCCATCCCTAGTGATAGTGGTACCAATTAAATGATATCCTTATATCATATCATCAAGGCCGTGCCGCCTTTGTTTTTAAAAAGGCATTCGCCTCGGGGTCCCGGATGATTTTGTGTAATTTAGGGCCCCAGAGTAATTGTAGTATAATGATAAAAATATGGTAAAAACAAATTTTGAGACTCTCATCCCAAATTTAAAGCCCCTTTGATGCTAAAATAAGAGTTTATTGACATTCTAACAATTATCTGAAATAAAATTATATTTTTTTAAATTCGTCTCGGATCCTAGAAGTCTAGACACGGCACTGCATATCATAAAAAAATTTTGTTCGACGATTATTTTTTGTTTTTAACTATACAAATTTGTTTAATCTTTAAGCCCAAAATTAATGCGAGTCGTGAATAATTGAGCATATTTAATTGTTTGATCATTATTTATAAACAGGTTTAGGCATTATTTTCGTCCGTTCACATTTCAAAGTTTGTGGCAGAATAATTTTACACAAATTACTCTTCATTTAAGAAAATTTCTACACTCTAAACACTAAAAAAAAAAATAAGTGTAAAAATAATAATATATGATTGTTAAAATGGTTAGTGATCTCTTAAACAGCTGCAAGCGTGAAGGAGAAATCAAGGGACCTATTTGATAGCGTTCCTTGAGCGAGGTCTTCAATGCCATGGAAGTGATTGTGGATTGTAGAGATTTTGTGGTAACGTAGATGGGGAAGAGATACAGGCTCCAAAGTAATCATGTTCAAGAAGATTTGGGCTGGACTGGCTGGTTAAGTTTAAGTTACTTTCTCATCTGAAAATGACGCGACAATTTTTTTTTGTTAAAGGGTTTTCATCAAATATTTTAATTAAAAGGTACAACATAATTTCAAAGATTTAACCGGAAAAACCCAAATGGGTCCGATTTGAAGGATTAACCTAGAACTAGGGTTACAGCTGGTTTAAACCAAGAGAAAAAATAGCCGCCGCAAGTAGACCTAGAAGCTCCGTCGCCGCAACCACCATACCTCCGACAAAAACCATGTCCATCGCTGAGGGGAAGATCTCTTTGTTTCAGGTCCCGTCTGCATCGAGTGGAGAAAAAAAAGAACACATGCCTTGACACATCCGAAACTTAGCCAACCCAAGATAGAACGAGCGGCGACATGGAGAACCATGACAAGCCAGAAGGAACCAAACGTCGCTGCCTCCCGAGGATCCCACCCGAAACCCATGAACCATCATCTAGCACAAAGGGTTTCAAACGGATCGGAGTGGAGAAAGAGAAAACACACACCTCCGCACCAGTGAAGGACAAGATCACGAAGGCCTCAACACCGAAAACCTCCTTGCCACCGTCACCTGTCGCCAACAAAGATCTACATCGCCGCTGCCTCGCCGCCTTAGACCAATTAGAACTTCTGTAGCCGAGGAAATCGCCTCTGTGAAACCAAGAGTGAACCTCCTTCAACCCCTCATCTCAGCCTCAAGGAAGAAGGATCGAAGAAGGCAAGATACTCTTGAGGAACACTGATTAGATCTCTAGGGACGCCGCTCTATGCCGCACTAACGATTGACAAACCCGCTCTCTATTCCTATAGAGAACCCCTAGAACATGAT